AGAGAGAGAGAGAGAGAGAGAGAGAGAGAGAGAGAGAGAGAGAGAGAGAGAGATAAAGACATAGAGATAGATAGATAGATAGAGAGAGAGAGAGAGAGAGAGAGAGAGAGAGAGAGAGAGAGAGAGAGAGAGAGAGAGAGAGAGAGAGAGACAGACAGAGACAGAGACAGAGACAGTGGCAAGCACAGACAGAAAGAGACAGAGAGGGAGAAAGAAAGACAGAGACAGAGACAGAGGTAAGCACAGACAGAGAGGGAGAAAGAAAGACAGAGACAGAGACAGAGGTAAGCACAGACAGAGAGGGAGAAAGAAAGACAGAGACAGAGGCAAGCACAGACACGCAGACAAGCTGACAGACAGACAGAGACGAAAATACAACATAACCACAAAATGATCTCGCGTTACAACAGTGGTCCAACTGCGACCAGCCTTCCCCAATGGCATAACTCCTAAGGGTCCGTCTAAGTGAACTGGCATTGTATAGAATTGCTTAGCGATAAGAAATCCTGCTGCGGTTGGTCAGTACAGTGAAAATAAAGTAATACAAGATAAAATAACGTAAGAAATGAATAAGAAAGAAAACAGAAAATAAACGTCAAAAGATTCAAAATGTCCGCACCAAAGAGACCTCCCGTTATTAATCAAATTATTCGAAGATCTGAAATCCTATGTAAATCCCCTTAAGCGAGGAAGTGACATTGATAGACATATAGATAATATGTATAGATAAAAAAGACAAAAAAAATATATATGAGTCGAATGACAAGCTGATAGATAAAAGGAATGAATTCTTAAAATAAGAGAGATATAGATAATGTGATATACTTAATCTACGCTTATCAAAACCAGGAGATACCGGTTTTTATATATATATCGCAGACTATCTGAAAGAAATTACAAAAAGAGAAAAAAAAAATAGCTTAAAAAAGAAGATAGAAATGAAAAAATAAGAAAAACACATGCATTTATGAAGAAAAAAAACTTTGATAAGAAAAACATGCGCTTATTCAGACTGACAGAAGGATAGATAAATTGATAGAGATAGATAGAGGCTGATACATAGAGAGGAAGAGGAGACTTAGAAAGATAAAAGGCGTTGTCAAAATCATTGGAAAATATTTAGAAACTAAAGGAAAAGGTTGCATATGAGAGTAAAATACTGCAGCTAAACAGAGAGAGAGATCGTGAGAGAGAGAGAAAGAGAGAGAGAGAGAGAGAGAGAGAGAGAGAGAGAGAGAGAGAGAGAGAGAGAGAGAGAGAGAGAGAGAGATAGATAGATAGATAGATAGATAGAGAGAGAGAGAGAGAGAGAGAGAGAGAGAGAGAGAGAGAGAGAGGGAGGGAGGGAGGGAGGGAGAGAGAGAGAGAGAGAGAGAGAGAGAGAGAGAGAGAGAGAGAGAGAGAGAGAGAGAGAGAGAGTGGAGAGAGAGATAGAGAGAGAGATAGAGAGAGAGAGAGAGAGAGAGAGAGAGAGAGAGAGAGAGAGAGAGAGAGAGAGAGAGAGAGAGAGAGAGAGAGAGAGAGAGAGAGAGAGAGAGAGAGAGAGAGAGAGAGAGAGAGAGAGAGAGAGAGAGAGAGAGAGAGAGAGAGAGAGAGAGAGAGAGAGAGAGAGAGAGAGAGAGAGAGAGAGAGAGAGAGAGAGAGAGAGAGAGAGAGAGAGAGAGAGAGAGAGAGAGAGAGAGAGAGAGAGAGAGAGAGAGAGAGAGAGAGAGAGAGAGAGAGAGAGAGAGAGAGAGAGAGAGAGAGAGAGAGAGAGAGAGAGAGAGAGAGAGAGAGAGAGAGAGAGAGAGAGAGAGAGAGAGAGAGAGAGAGAGAGAGAGAGAGAGAGAGAGAGAGAGAGAGAGAGAGAGAGAGAGAGAGAGAGAGAGAGAGAGAGAGAGAGAGAGAGAGAGAGAGAGAGAGAGAGAGAGAGAGAGAGAGAGAGAGAGAGAGAGAGAGAGAGAGAGAGAGAGAGAGAGAGAGAGAGAGAGAGAGAGAGAGAGAGAGAGAGAGAGAGAGAGAGAGAGAGAGAGAGAGAGAGAGAGGAGGTGGAGGCCAGACCTGGAGGGAATACCAACTTATACCATGTTGGTGTCCAATAATGAGAACAGGTTCACTTAATAACACTTCTCTAGACTGGACGCAACAAATAGTTTTGATGTTTTCGTTAAATTTTAGAGCACGGCAGGTTGGGTAGTCATGTTAGAGTATAATGGTAAAAATCTTCATACAGATGAAATGCAACGAGAAATCACGTAAGCTGAGTATTAGAAAGGAAATCATTAGAATTGAAGAATTCAACCTTGAAATCAAGAAAAGTATAAAACACAGCCATCCGTTTATAACACCTCAGTTAGCAATACCTATCTCGGGCATGTTTCTTAAACCTCGAAAAATATATATAAACATCCCTTTAGAACACATTTATTCTAAATTCACTTAATTAGACATATAAGAACATCAGAGGAGACGAGCACGCATCTCGCGCTTCTTCTGTCACCTGCGCGATGTCGTCTGCGCAGTTGCCGAGACTCGCAGACGGCAGTTATGAGTTGGACTTCAGTGAGCAAGGATGAGTGGTGTCTCTAGCGTTTCTGTGGCCTTGGTCTGTGCCACGAGAAATGTGAGACATGGTAAGTGAAACTATTCTTGTTTGAGTTTGTATATATCTTTCGGTGATGGCAAATTGAGTTGTGGTTATGTAGTTGGTTTCCCCCTCAGGGTACGATTATGTAATCTAGGTCATAATAATTTTTTTTGGGACAGGGTAAGATAAGCTAAGTGATGTCAGGTCGTCCTTGTTATGAAATTGTTCTCGTGGACTGAAGGCGTCCCAAGAGCAGGTGCCGGAGCTGCTGACACCAGTTCCAGCCAGTTGACGGAAGCTAAGAATAGTTGCTAAAAAGAATTATGTAATGAAAGCACATGGTCTCCGCTGTTGTTTTTGTTTTTATTATCATTCTTCTCTCTCTCTCTCTCTCTCTCTCTCTCTCTCTCTCTCTCTCTCTCTCTCTCTCTCTCTCTCTCTCTCTCTCTCTCTCTCTCTCTCTCTCTCTCTCTCTCTCTGTCAATCTCTCTCTCTCTCTCTCTCTCTCTCTCTCTCTCTCTCTCTCTCTCTCTCTCTCTCTCTCTCTCTCTCTCTCTCTCTCTCTCTCTCTCTCTCTCTCTCTCGTTAACCACACACCGAAATCTCTTTCAATATTTCAACTCTTGCTATAGACAGCGTCGTTATTACACGCGAGCCTTACCTTAGGAGGTCTTAGAAATGGCAGACACGAAGTACTGGGAAATGCTGACCGTGCAAGGGACATGCACACGCTTGAACTTCCTCGGGACTTGTGACGCAACGCAGGGAGGAGGGAGAGGGGGAGAGAAGGAGAAGGAGAAGGAGAAGGAGGAGAAGGAGAAGGAGAAGGAGAAGGAGAAGGAGGAGAAGGAGAAGGAGAAGGAGGAGAAGGAGAAGGAGAAGGAGAAGGAGAAGGAGAAGGAGAAGGAGGAGAAGGAGAAGGAGAAGGAGAAGGAGGAGAAGGAGAAGGAGAAGGAGAAGGAGAAGGAGGAGAAGGAGAAGGAGAAGGAGAAGGAGAAGGAGAAGGAGAAGGAGAAGGAGGAGAAGGAGAAGGAGAAGGAGAAGGAGGAGAAGGAGAAGGAGAAGGAGGAGAAGGAGAAGGAGAAGGAGAAGGAGAAGGAGAAGGAGAAGGAGGAGAAGGAGAAGGAGAAGGAGAAGGAGAAGGAGAAGGAGAAGGAGAAGGAGAAGGAGAAGGAGAGAAGGGGGAAGTGGAAGAAAGAGAAAAGGAGGGGAAGGGGATAGAGGGAGAAGGAGAAAGAAAGAAGGGGGAAGAGGGAGAAGGAGAAAGAAAGAAGGGGGAAGAGGGAGAAGGAGAAAGAAAGAAGGAGAAAGAGAGAAGGGGGAAGAGGAAGGAGAAGGAGAAGGGGGAAGAGGAAGAGAAAAGGAGAAGGGGGAAGAGGGAGAAGGAGAGAGAAAGAAGGGGGAAGAGGGAGAAGGAGAAAGAAAGAAGGGGGAAGAGGGAGAAGGAGAAAGGAAGAAGGAGAAAGGAGGAGAAGGAGAAGGGGAAGGGGAAGGGGAAGGGGAAGGGGAAGGGGAAGGGGATAGAGGGAGAAGGAGAAAGAAAGAGGGAGAAGGAGAAAGAAAGAAGGGGGAAGAGGGAGAAGGAGAAAGAGAAGGAGATAGGGAGAAAGAGATAGAGGGGAACAGAGGGAGAGGTGTGAAGAGAGGAGGATATTGATGGAAAGAAAGGGAGAAAGAGGGATAATATTGATGGAAAATCAGGATAGCAGAGGGAGAGGGTGGAAGAGACATAGGGATAGGAAGAGAAAGAGGATAAAGAAGAGGGAAGGATGGAGGGAGAGGAAGGAAGGGAGGGACAAAGAGTAAAAAGGAGGAAGAAAGAAGGGGAGTGAGAGGTAGGGAGAGGAAGGAAAGAGGACAAGGATAGGGAGAGAGGAGGAGTAAGAGGGATAAGGGCAGGCGAGAGAGAGGGAGGGAGAAGGGACGGGGCAGAAATAGGAACAATGTAAATGGAAAGCCAATAAGGGAAAAGGGGTGATGGAGACAGGAAAGAGAGAAGGAAGAAGGGGTAAGAATAGATGGAGGAGGATAAAAAAAGGGTGAAGGAAGGTAGGGATAGGAGAGGAGGAAACTGTATGGGAAAGAAAGGAAGGAGGAGGGAGAAAGATGGGGGAGAGAATGAAAGGAAGGGAGAAAGATAGGGAAAGAGAGAAAGTGAGAGAGAAAATGATAAGCTGAAGGAAAGGGATGAATAGAAAGAAGAGGGGAAGGAGAGGGGAAGGAGTGAGCTGAGTTGAGGGTGGAGACAGGAGGAAGGAAAGGAAGGATCTGGAAAAGGCAAAGAAGAGAGAGAGGGACAGGAGAAGAGGAAGGAATGAGGGAATATTGAGTAGGAGAAAAGGGTAGAGGCAGTGAAAGGAAGAGGAGAGAGAAAAGAGTGGATGGATGAAATAATTAGATGGAAGGTGAGAGGGAGGGGAGGGAGAAGAAGAGAAAGAGAAAGAGGAAGAATGTGAGGGGGAAGAGAGTGAGGGAGGGAGAGAGCGAGGGGGGAAAGAGAGTGAGGGGGGAGAAGAGAATGGAAGAAAGTGACAGAGGAAAAAATGGAGAGAGGAATGGGGCAAGAGCAAAGGGGGGGAAAGTTTTTGTCCTGATAATACATCAAGGCCTTAGTGTGTGAGACTATTTGCTAGTCATGTAACTCCAAGCCAGATGATTTCATTAAAGGCTCGGAAATTGTGTTTATGCCTACGTACAAGTTGCAACTAAATATTTAGTTTAACTCTTTTTATCCATTGGAACTTTGGTGCAACTGGCCAAGATTAGACACGGATGAAGTCAAGGAATTATAGGTAATGGAAACATTAATTATACGTACATAAAAGTATTGACATTTGGCCGTGTGCTGCAGAGTATTTTAATTCTGTTGCTATACTGTAAAGACGCAATTTATTTTGAGATTTGTCAGATGTTTGCACTGACATTCTGTGGGATTCAGATTTAAAATCAGAATTTAAGATTAGGAAGATTTTAATAGATTAAATTTTTCATCTTGGTGTTTTTGTATTTTCTTTTATTTATGATTAATGCCATTAGTTGATTACTCATCAGAAGGAACAGCACAGCATTGGAATGTAATTGGAAATGAAATCAAATGTAAAGGGCAAAGAATATTAATTATTGGCGTCAGTTTTTTTTTATAAGAGGGAATTGGCATATGTTCTTACCCGTAACAATACGAAAGTGAAGAAATGAAGAAATTGAAGAAAGAGAAGGAATAGCTGAGAAGATGGGATTGGATTGGAATTAGAAGGAAAGGGTAAGAAAATAGGTAGGAATGAAAGAAAGGACATAGCAATAACCATGTTAGGAAATACAATGAAATGCAAGTGGAGACAAGAGGAATAGATGAAAATTAGAAATTAGAATAGAAGGTATAAATAAGAGAATAGGTGAGGCTAGAAGAAAATACAGATTAGAAATAGGAATATAATTAGAGAGCCAAAATAAAATAAAATAAATAGAAGCCATAAAGAATATTTCCTGATAAGGTGTCCTATACCTTTTTAAAACACTTCTACATTCTCTCAAAGTAGAGCAAGCATCTGGGTCATAATTCTTGAGTAATACAAAGCAATTCAGCTCTTTGTAAGTTGATTTGCCTTTTGTCTCTAGTATTTTCCAGATCATACTGAAAGACAGAATTTTTATTAGTTGAGATGCAGGAGTTGGAGGCAGCAAAGAGGAAGTTGATTATTGTTATTCCAAATGAATTTTACCTGTTTTATGTTATTCATTATTCCATATACATATTTGAAAGAATATGAAGGGGATGAGGTGTATTTATCATTTATCAAGGTTTTGTGGTTGTTCATAAAAGTGTTCCAGAATTTACATTACTCGCTTGAGGCTTGAGTACTGTGGATGATATAGAGGTAAAATATCTATATAATTGGCAAGAACCTGCTGTGCATCTTTGGGCTCGGAGAGAATTGCAAGACGGACTTTTCATTTTATCATGTTATCAACCCATGCTGTCAATTACTGTTATTATTAAGCCTCTCAGAAAGGGCTACTGTGTTGCTGATACAGTGGAAACCCAAACAGGTTTTGCAATCTTATTTTACTTTTTGGTTTACTGTGGAAAGATTGATTTTTTATTTTTGTGAAATTTTGAGGCTGCAGTCATTATGTTTAGATTTACAAGTTGTTTATTTACAATTTATTTTTTATGGTACTTATGTCTGGTAGAGACCATAGCCTGTTGGTTTAGAAACTGTATTTCATTTGTGGTATTTATATTTTTATTTCACATATGCTGTTTTTTTTCATTGCAACAGTCACTTTAATCTTTGTATAAATGAGTGTTATACCAAATTATTGCAACTTTTGTTTATGACACAGCCTGTGATGAAAAGTATGTCAGAAGAATGGATATACTTTATATATTTAATTCCTCATGTATTTTTTTTTTTTTTTTCTTTTTAGACATTTTGCATGTAGGGCATATTCTGATACCACATTCTTTCTTTTTTTCCAAGGATTTGGCCAAGTGCCCCCTGGTGTGATACTCCGACAGCCATGGCGCAGCAGCGTGAAGACCCCGAGGCTGTCCCCTGAGCTCGCGGCAGCATGCTCTAGTGCCTATGGTTCCCTCGCTGGCAGCTGGGTGACTCGAGGGCCCGGCCAGCACCATGGACACTGCCAGATCTCCAGGCCGGCAGTTGTCATATCCCCCGCCCTCCACGTGTCGTATACGACTGTTCAAGTGCCATACTATCGGAACTTTCACACTTCCACGCGGGCGTTCGAAAAGGAGAACCTGAAGCCCTCGTCACAAGTCGAAGTGACTGTGAAAGACCTCAAGGAGAAGGCCAAAGCGGCCGGCTCTCCGTTGCAAGACAAAAAATTGCAGGTTGTGGAAAGAAAGTCCCTAGGTGTGAGAATAAAAGAAGAAATACTCCATTATTATCATGGCTTCAGGTTGCTCTTCATCGATACCAAAATCTGCTTCAAATACGTGTGGCGGATCGTCAATGGCGAGGTCCTGTCGAGAAGAGAACACAGACAGGTAATGTGCTGTGCCTTTTCACTTCCTTGTTAGTCATGTTATTATTTTTATTTATTTATTTGTTTTTACTCAGTCGATATTAATCTCTCCTCCTCTTCACTTTTTAGAAGCCAAGTTCTAGTATTTTTTAACAGTATTATCTCTATTATCTAGCTCCTTTAATTGTAGTAGAAATGAACTGAAGACCATTGGCAAAAAGTGTAATATAAAAGGGGGTGAAAGTTGTTTCAAAGTTTTGCCATGTATGAGTGCACAAGACTGGATGATTCTAGCTCAGTTGGCAAGAATAGATATTGCACAAAAAATATATGCCAGTACCTTGCAATTTGTTGCTCTGTGTAATTTTGATATTGGATAATATGTAAATGTGTATGTATAGAAAAGAAATATATGTACATATATAAGTGCATCCATGTATTTGAATATTTATTGCACATTCAATCTCACCCTAACCCTCGCCCACTCACTCACTCACTCACTCACTCACTCACTCACTCACTCACTCACTCACTCACTCACTCACACACACACACACACACACACACACACACACACACACACACACACACACACACACACACACACACACACACACACACACACACATGTGCGTATAAATGTACAGTACCACAGGATATATTTCCTTCATTCCCCATTCCCCATCATCTACCGTGCCAGGTGGCAGGAATTTACGACCAAATCTCAAACATGTCATGGGGGGAGGAGGGGGGGTGCAAAATTGACTCGCATGGCACTGTAGGCGGGCATTATATCGCGGCCTCCTTTGGCACTGTGGCACTTCGACTCTGGCACTTTTCACTCTCGTCCGCGGGGTCGGGGAGTCCACCCAGAGCGCTGATGCATATGTCATGGCAAAGTTTTTTTTTAGCTCTTTTTTTTAGGGGGGAGGGGGTCCTGCCTTTATAATTGTTTGGTTCTTGTCTTTTTATGTTATTTGTTTCGCGTATGTGTTATTTTCGTTGTTATTGTTGTTAGTTAAGTTAATACTGTTGTTATTGTTGTCGTTGGCATGACGGTTATTCAGTATCGCATTATTATTGTTGGTCTTGGTAATATTGTTATATTTTTTGTTTTCTTTATTTTGTTTTTAATGTTATCGTCACTGTGATGATTGTCATTATAGTTCGTATTATTATAGAAATTATGATAATACTTACACTCATTTTGAGAAGAGAAAATGAACGAGATAAAAATGCATCGACTTCTCAGAAGTTGCAGAGGAGAAAGTAGCCTCTCCCAAGGGCTTGATTACGGGGGAGGGGGGGGGGGGCAAGGAGGGGAGGAGTTGGGAAGGGGAAGGAGGGGGAGGGTGGAGAGGGCAGGGATAGGAGGTAGGAGGGGCAAGGGGCAGGGGAGGAAGGGGGAGGGGGGAGCGGGCAGGGAAGGTAGGAAGGTAGAATGCAAGGGGCAGGGGAAGGGACGGGTAGGGGCAGGGGAGGAAGGGAGGCTGGTGGAGGAGGAGGAGGAGGAGGACACGGGGAGGGGCAGAAGGGGAAGAAAGGAGGAGGTGGTAAAGGGCAGAAAGGGGTAAGGGGGCAGGGGCAGGGGCAGGGGCCGCCGTGCGGGGGGAGGGAGGGCGGTGGTGCTGTGACCCGCCCAGACCGCATGGCGCCCACCTCACCCGCCGCCGCCGCCTCCTCCTCCCCCCCCCCCTCCTCCTCCTCTCCCCCCCTCCTCCTCCTCCCCCCTCCTCCTCCTCCTCCTCCTCCTCCTCCTCCTCCTCCTCCTCCTCCTCCTCCTCCTCCTCCTCCTCCTCCTCCTCCCTCCTCCTCCCCCTCCTCCTCCCCCCCTCCTCCTCCCCCCTCCTCCTCCTCCTCCTCCCCCCTCCTCCTCCTCCTCTTTGGATGATGAGCGAATTGTTTCCTTCAGTTCTCCAGCGGATTTGATTTCCTTTTCTCTCCATCGCATTCGGGAAATAGTTCGCCTAAGAAAGGAGAAAAGGCAAGCGGGCAGTTGGTAATTATTTTCTGGCGATATGAATGGGATTTTTTTTTTTTTTTTTTCCTTTTCTTTTCTTTGTGGTTGTCATATGGATTGCTCTGGATGACGTCATGGGCTTGGCAAGATTTCGGGGCCGCTGTGCAGGTGTCGGGGAAGGCATCCAAGATCGGTTAAGGATAATTTTGACTTAGGTTTTGAAATGTCCGCGTTGGGTATTTTTGCGGGACCAGATTTATAGTTATTCGTTTTGATTTTTTTTTGTTGTGTTGGTCTTAACCATGTATTGTTTTCTCTTGCTTGTTTCCGCTATCTTGTTTAATAGAATGGGTATTGTGATGATGATGTCGAGGATGATGATGATGATGATGTCGATGATGATGATGATGATGATGATGATGATGATGATGATGATGATGATGATGATGATGATGATGATGATGATGATGATGATGATGATGATATGATGATGATGATATGATGATGATGATGATGATGATGATATGATGATGATGATGATATGATGATGATGATGATGATGATGATGATGATGATGATGATGTCGATGATGATGATGTCGATGATGATGATAAAGAGATATGTTGCAAACTTGTGACTGAAGTTGAATTTGCAAGATGCGCAAGACAGGAAAATAACGAATACGATGATTGGGAATATATCGAGTACGTATTCTATAAATATTCTACTTCAAAAGATCTGCATTTTCCGATATTTCTGTGGGTTATTACCCTTAAAATGCTTAAATTTACATAATGATCTCATAGTCTGAATGTGATTACCAATAACAGCTCTAAAGATGTTCTATGTCATTTCAACCACAGGTAAAACGAAATGAAATTTGCCTCTGTAAGAATCGAGTTTGTTTGCCTTCTGAACATTTAATAACCGTTTATCAAATTAACCCATTGTCGACGGGCATGGCATGTACGTACATACCATGCCCACTGTGAGTTTACTTGTTTAATTGTTTTAAAGACAGGTGGCTACACTTGTAATAAGTCACCAATGAGCCAGTTATGAGTACTGTCTGTCTCGCCCGCTTACCTCTTTCTTTGATTCACGATTTTTTTTTACGTTATCTTATTTTTCTGTTACTAATATTTATAACATTATAGTAATGATAATATTCAATAAAAATACCACCATCGATATTCATAGTACTAGTAAAAGATACGTTTTTCCCGCCAATTCAAGGAAAGGTGAAATCAGGTAAGGTCACAATATCTACTAATTGACTCCTTTGTGGCTAAGCAATAACAGAGCCATATATTTCACAAAAATATTTTTAAAATGAGCACAGCATTTTCCCCATTTTTTATTAATTTCCCCCGGCGGCAATAGATTTAAGATAAAGCATCAAAACAAGAATATAAATATATATATATATGATTATCAGTCGTATTTTTTCCCACAACGAAGGTTTTTAAGGATTGCCAGCAAGCATTTATTTTGTTTTGGGACAAGAAGTGATAAGGGCCGGGGCTGCAGCTGAGGTCATATCGCTAAGGTCAGTTACAGTCGTCATGGAAACGTGGCCGATAGTGTGCTTGCGTGGGGGGAAGGGCAGGGGGAGGGGGAGTGGTGGTGTTATTATCTGCCTACGGTGGGAGAGGGCAGTCAAAGTGTTTTTTTTTTTCTTGTGTAATTGCGTTGTTCAGTATGTCGGGAGTTGTTGGTCTTTTGAACGTGTTGTAAACTTGTTTTGGCTGGGACTCCCTCTCTTCCTCTCCGTTCCCCTTTCCCTTTCCTTTTCCCTTCCCCTTCCCCTTCCCCTTCCCCTTCCCCTTCCCCTTCCCCTTCCCCTTCCCCTTCCCCCTTCTCCATCCCCTCCTCCTTCCCCTTCCCCTTCCCCTTCCCCTTCCCCTTCCCCTTCCCCTTCCCCTTCCCCTTCCCCTTCCCCTTCCCCTTCCCCTTCCCCTTCCCCTTCCCCTTCCCCTTCCCCTTCCCCTTCCCCTTCCCCTTCCCCTTCCCCTTCCCCTTCCCCTTCCCCTTCCCCTTCCCCTTCCCCTTCCCCTTCCCCTTCCCCTTCCCCTTCCCCTTCCCCTTCCCCTTCCCCTTCCCCTTCCCCTTCCCCTTCCCCTTCCCCTTCCCCTTCCCCTTCCCCTTCCCCTTCCCCTTCCCCTTCCCCTTCCCCTTCCCCTTCCCCTTCCCCTTCCCCTTCCCCTTCCCCTTCCCCTTCCCCTTCCCCTTCCCCTTCCCCTTCCCCTTCCCCTTCCCCTTCCCCTTCCCCTTCCCCTTCCCCTTCCCCTTCCCCTTCCCCTTCCCCTTCCCCTTCCCCTTCCCCTTCCCCTTCCCCTTCCCCTTCCCCTTCCCCTTCCCCTTCCCCTTCCCCTTCCCCTTCCCCTTCCCCTTCCCCTTCCCCTTCCCCTTCCCCTTCCCCTTCCCCTTCCCCTTCCCCTTCCCCTTCCCCTTCCCCTTCCCCTTCCCCTTCCCCTTCCCCTTCCCCTTCCCCTTCCCCTTCCCCTTCCCCTTCCCCTTCCCCTTCCCCTTCCCCTTCCCCTTCCCCTTCCCCTTCCCCTTCCCCTTCCCCTTCCCCTTCCCCTTCCCCTTCCCCTTCCCCTTCCCCTTCCCCTTCCCCTTCCCCTTCCCCTTCCCCTTCCCCTTCCCCTTCCCCTTCCCCTTCCCCTTCCCCTTCCCCTTCCCCTTCCCCTTCCCCTTCCCCTTCCCCTTCCCCTTCCCCTTCCCCTTCCCCTTCCCCTTCCCCTTCCCCTTCCCCTTCCCCTTCCCCTTCCCCTTCCCCTTCCCCTTCCCCTTCCCCTTCCCCTTCCCCTTCCCCTTCCCCTTCCCCTTCCCCTTCCCCTTCCCCTTCCCCTTCCCCTTCCCCTTCCCCTTCCCCTTCCCCTTCCCCTTCCCCTTCCCCTTCCCCTTCCCCTTCCCCTTCCCCTTCCCCTTCCCCTTCCCCTTCCCCTTCCCCTTCCCCTTCCCCTTCCCCTTCCCCTTCCCCTTCCCCTTCCCCTTCCCCTTCCCCTTCCCCTTCCCCTTCCCCTTCCCCTTCCCCTTCCCCTTCCCCTTCCCCTTCCCCTTCCCCTTCCCCTTCCCCTTCCCCTTCCCCTTCCCCTTCCCCTTCCCCTTCCCCTTCCCCTTCCCCTTCCCCTTCCCCTTCCCCTTCCCCTTCCCCTTCCCCTTCCCCTTCCCCTTCCCCTTCCCCTTCCCCTTCCCCATGAATAAGTTGATTGTTTATGCTTGTTTTTTCGTTTATTGGGGGGAGGGAGCAGTGTGTGTGTGTGTGTGTGCATGTGTGCATGTGTGTATGTGTGTGTGTGAGTGCGTTCGTGCGTTGTATGCATATATGCATGGATGCACTTGTGTGCGTGCGTACGGCGGTCATATTTAGCACTTATGTTCAATGCAAAAGAACGCATCTTAAAAAAACAAAACAAAAAAAAACACACAAACGAAACTGATCACTACGAATGAGAATGGAAAAATGGTGCAGAACCTCGGAGTGGGTGTTGGAGCACGAGGAAGTAGACAGAGGAGGAGGATAAGGCTGAGAAAAACGGGTTATGAGGCAGCATGGGAGGGGGAGAGGGGAGGGTGGGGAGGAGGGGCAGGGAGAGGGAGAGGAAGAGGGAGAAGGTCGGGACAGGTTAGGGATAGTTGGAGTCGGGATTGTTGGGGGGAAGGGGGCATGGATTGGGAGAGGGAGAGAGGGGGAGGGAGAGGAAGAGGGAGAGGAAGAGAATGGAGGTGGAGGAGGAGAAAAAGGAGGCGAAGGAAAACTAGGAGGAAATAGGGAAATTAGCAGGAATTTGTATGGGGAGTGGGATTGAATCAGGTGGCAGGGACAGGTAAGGGAACAGGAGGGGGGGGGGGTGCAGAGATAGAAAGAGGAGTGAGACGGCAGGGGTGGAAGAGGAACAGAGAGAGAGAGAGAGAGAGAGAGAGAGAGAGAGGGAGAGAGAGAGAGGGAGAGAGGAGAGAGAGGAGAGAGAGAGGAGAGGGAGAGAGAGAGAGGGAGAGGGAGAGGGAGAGGGAGAGGGACAGGTGAGGGTGACAGAGTGAGTAAAAATAAGGATAGGGTGGAGAGAGGGGGGAGGGGGTGGGGGGGCTGACAAGCAAAGGGGGTGTGGGGTAGATATAACACAGGGGGAGGGGTAGGAAGAAGGGGGTGGTGGGGGCGGGGGGAGCCTTTCCATCCGGCCTGCCAAGCACGCCCCCAATCCCCCTGCCAGACATTCCATCACCCGGAGACCCACGTGGCGAAGACATGCCCCTCCCCCCCCCACCTCTCTCCCTTAACCCCATTCCCCTTCCGCGGGGCACGTGTTGATCCCGACGCCCAGGCGCAGGTGGAGGTGGGCGGCCGCCGTGCCAGGGCCCGCCCCCCATCGTGTCATGGTTATTTTGACTTGGGTCCCCCGCCCGCCGTCCGAGCTCGCTCTTGGCCGCGGCGGTGCGGGGACCCTGCTTGCGCTGACCGAGCGAGGGCGGGCAGTGTGTGTGTTTGTACGTGTATGCTTGCATATACGTGCATACGCACACGCAAACTCACTTTCACATTCATATTCACAGGCACATTGCGCCCGCGCGCGCACGCACACACGCGCACACGCACACACGCGCACACGCACACACGCACACACGCGCACACGCACACACGCGCACACGCACACACGCGCACACGCACACACGCGCACACGCACACACGCGCACACGCACACACGCGCACACGCACACACGCGCACACGCGCACACGCACACACGCGCACACGCGCACACGCGCACACACACACACACACGCGCGCGCACACGCACACACACACACACACACACACACACACACACACACACACACACACACACACACACACACACACACACACACACACACTCTCACTTCCTTGCTGTCATGCACCTCTTCCCGTGTTGTCACTCTGACGATACAAATATAACTTAAGGAAAAGAATCGAATGATGCAAAGCTACATTAGGCCTGTTGCCCACAAACGACGACGATAACAGCAAAACATGCTTCTGAAAGCATGGGAATGCAGGTTGCAGTTGCCGCACCGGTGTTTTCGTTTTAGTCCAATTATTTCATCGCCTACACAAGCTGTCGGGGGAAAAAATCTCAGCTGATATAGATAGGCCTGATTGAGATTGCACAAAGGCCTATTTCCCCAGTTGCAAATAGGCCTGTCGCTCGTTTCCAAAAGAAGGTCGAACCAGATTTACTATTTCGATCAAATTGCAACATGCAACACGGTTTAAGCTCGTGGGCGCTGGTGTTGCCAAGGAGGTTGTGTGTCTCTTTGCTTTTTATCCTTAGCCCGTAACACAAGTTGATTATGCAACGGAGTGGACCAGCGGGGATGCATGGCAACTGGGAGGGCCGTTTGGGGTCCTTTCAGAATTACTAGCAAAATACCCTTGCCATTAATTAATTAATCTGTAGACTTAATGAGTGATTTGACTATTAGCAATTACGAGTACGATAAAACTATTTAATTGCTATCAGTGCCAGTCGGATACCACTTTTTAGATATTGCCAGTTGCCAGGAAGCTAGCAGTTGGCTACCACTAACTATTGCCAATGCAAGTCGGTTACCACTACTTAGATGTTACAGGAGGCTACCATTATTTAACCATTACCGGTTATCAGTCGGATACCACTTTTTAACCATCACCAATGCCCGTAGGCTTCCACAGTAATTTAAAATTACCAGTAACAGTAGGCTAAGATCATGTAACAATTACCTGTACTAGATGACCATAGTTCTTATTAGTACTGCTTTTATCACATTTATCACTGTTACTAAGTCAGTCGTAATTACTTACCATCATCAATACCTCTGCAAGCCGACTATTGTTGTTACTAGTACTATCTTTACCGCTTGTCAGTACCATTACTAGATGATTAGTTTTGCTACTAGTATTGTGATGATTACAGTCACTCATACCATTGTCAACTACCATGACTATCAGTAGCACTAAAACCACAACTGCTTGTAATGCTGTCACACCCGGTTCAGATTGACACTTCCACCGCTACTAAGATCACTGTCACGGCCACTATCAATACCATTATCACAACTACCCTCAATACGAGTACCACAACCACCCTCAACACCAGTACCATAACCACTCTCAATACTAGTACCACAACCACTACAACTACTACCAATACGATCAGTGCCTATACCACCACAACAACTGAAGTCATAGCCACAGCCATTATCAGAACCAGTATTATAGAATATACTGCCAATCCCACAATGTCCACGAACACTTCCACCACCAGTACCACAACCACAACCCCCAAGCACCACCACAAACACTGCCACCACAATTACCATTACATGTCCCCCTTCCCCACCAGAAATTATGATAGACCTATTATGATAAGCCTACAAAAAATAATTCGTGAACCAGACGACACCATCCTAAAATTAGTATGTTTATTTTGTTCCTACCACCCACCATTGCATTTGGAACTAAGCATTAGAGCATTAGTTCGCAAGGTCTGTCTAAGGTCTATGAATATATAAACCTTCTGGGAAACGAAGAGAAACGTAGAAAAAAGATATTGATTCTGGAGCTTATACTCTGTTGGGGCGGTTTCTAGGTGCATGCAGGCGTCTGGCGCGGGGAAGGAGGGGAAGGGGAAGGGAATGGAAGGGGAAAGGGAAAGGAAAAGGAAAAGGGAAAGGGAAAGGGAAAGGGAAAGGGAAAGGGAAAGGGAAAGGGAAAGGGAAAGGGAAAGGGAAAGGGAAAGGGAAAGGGAAAGGGGAAGGGGGAGGGGAAGGGGGAGGAGAAGGGGAAAGGGGAAAGGGGAAAGGAGAAGAGAAAGGGGAAGGGAAGATATTAGATATACAAATATAAGGAAAAAGGGGAAGGAAAAGATATTAAGGAGAATCAAAGGCAAAGGCGGGAGAGAAAGGAGGGGGGGAGGGTCATGCATATTCACCGGAAATTATTATAGGTCTACAACTTTTACAACTTTAGAGAGATGTCACTAAAACATCTAAGCCTAGTCCACATTTTATTATTATTATTATTATTATTATTATTATTATTATTATTATTATTATTATATTATATATTATATATTATATATTATTTATATATACATTTATTGGAAGTATAAAATTGGTGGGTGTCCGGACATGTTTGTTTTGGTAAGAGTTGTGAAACAGTTGCGATTTTTTTTTATATTGTAGCTGTGGTTGTTGTTTGCGATGAAAAAGGGATTTAAAAAAAGGTTAAATGCAAACGGGATTAATACTGGATTTTGAGGTTACAAGGTACAAGGCCCAGTCGCCAACCCCCCTTTAAGTGAACCTAACCCACCACACCTACCCGTCTCTCCTCCTCCTCCTTCCCCCTTCCTCCTCCCTCCTCCCTCTTTCTCATCCCTCCTCCCTCTTTCTCATCCCTCCTCCCTCTTTCTCATCCCCTCCTCCCTCTTTCTCCTCCTCCTCCCTCTTTCTCCTCCTCCTCCCTCTTTCTCCTCCTCCTCCCTCTTCCTCCTCCTCCCCCTTCCTCCTCCTCCTCCCTCTTTCTCCTCCTCCTCCCTCTTTCTCCTCCTCCTCCTCCTCCTCCTCCTCCTCCTCCTCCTCCTCCTCCTCCTCCTCCTCCTCCTCCTCCTCCTCTTTCCTTCTTCCTTCCTCCTTCCCATTGTTGCAAGTCATTCTTACTTGACTTTTATTTTCTGTTCTTCTCCTTTACTCTTTATTTTGCCTTCTTTCGTCTTTCTTTTATCTTCCATTCTTCCTACCATCTCTTTGGATTTTATTTTCCTTTTCGCTATCCTTCTCTTTCATTCATTATGTCTACTGTCTCTCTCTCTCCTCTCTCTCTCTCTCTCTCTCTCTCTCTCTCTCTCTCTCTCTCTCTCTCTCTCTCTCTCTCTCTCTCTCTCTCTCTCTCTCGTGTCTCCTCTGCTCTTCTCGTCTCTTCTCTTCTCTTCTCTTCTCTTCTCTTCTCTTCTCTTCTCTTCTCTTCTCTTGCCCTCTTTTCTTCTCTTCTCTTCTCTCGCCCTCTTTTCTTCTCTTCTCTCGCCCTCTTTTCTTCTCTTCTCTTCTCTGCTCTTCTTTCCTCTTCTCCTCTCGCCTCTCGCCCTCTTCTCTTCTCGCCTCCCTTCTCCTCTCTTTAAATCCTCATCTACTTGTGTAAGCAATATTATGAGTGTATTTGCATGTATAGTTAGTATAAGCATAATTATTAGTTAAAACATGCACATATATACGCATCTGTCATGTGCATGTACAGATAAAAGTGTGTGTGTGTAAAGCTTGAACTTGTGTATTTGAATGTGTGTGTCAGTCTTGAAGCCACGCAAGCCCTCTTCGATGCTTCATTGGCACAGGGCCTGCCTCCCCTTGCCTCCGGTGAAGCTTCGACTCCCCGCATCAAAGGGACCATCGGAGTCGAGGGATTCGTTTTATAGCTTCGGGGAAAGCGTTTCGGCACACGTTTCGGTTCGGCCGCCGCGGTTGCAGTCGTGGTGTCTGAGGACTGACTGTTGGCTCTCCTCGTCACCCCCGGCGCCGTCACCATGACGTGTCGTTATCGATGTCGGTTTCGTTAGGGTTGGCGTTGGTGGTCTCGTTATTATTATCGTCGGTATGGGCATTTAAATTGTCACCACCATCGTCATCGTCATCACCGTCATCATCGTCACCATCATCATCGTCACCATCGTCATCATCGTCTTCATTGTCATCACCATCGTCTTCGTCATCCACCACCACGACCACCGGTCTTGGCTCGTCCCAGAATATCATGCAGACCATACATGTTGCAACAGGTTTCTCAGGTGTGCCCGTGCCTGCTTGGTGCATGGCCGGGGTGCCATATTTCGGGGAAGGAGGAGAGGAGGGGGGGTGGGGGTGACGCTAAAATGAACCTTGGGCTGTTCCTGTTTTATAAATGGCCTGAATGTTTTTTTTTTTTTTTTTATTTCTCCTTTCCTTCTCTCTTTTTTTCCTCTCTTCGTCCGTTTTTCTCGTTAGTTCTTGTTGTTATTATTGCTAATAATGATGATGATGATAGTAATAAGAGTAATAATAATATATATAATTATTGTTATCATTTTTATTATTTATTATTATTTGTTAATGTCGTCATCGTCATCGTCATCATCATCATCATCATCATCATCATCATCATCATCATCATCATCATCATCATCATCATCATCATCATCATCACCATCATCATCATCACCATCATCATCATCATCATCACCATCACCATCATTATCATCATCACCATCACCGCCATCACCATCATCATTATCATCATCACCATCATCACCATCATCACCATTATCATCATCACAGTTATTACCAACATCATTTTTATTGTTATTATTTTCATTGTTATTACTCTTTTTGATTTCTTCACTTGCTGTTATGACCAACCACTAACAATTTATATCCTTTTCCACGTCGGAAAGTGAAGTGTAATGCCTTCGTCACACAGGAAAGACGTCATCAGTTCAAAATAAAGATTTTGTTTTTTTTTGGTTTGGGAAAGAAGGGAAGAGTGGGAGAGGGAGGGGGGGGGGGAAGGGAGATTGGAGGAGAGAGGGAGAAGGGGAGAGGAGAGGAAAGGGGGAGAATGGGAGAAGGGGAGATTAGAGGAGAGGGGAGTGAGAGTGCGAGTAAGAGAGCGAGAGAGAGCGAGGTGGTGAGCCATCACGCGGTAAACCGGACGGAACTCCCTTTCTGTGCCCTCCCTCCCTGTTACCACTCCCTCTCCCGGCCCCGTCTCCCTAAACCCTTCGCCTTTTCCTACTTCCCTCTTTTCCTCTCCTCTCTCCTCCCCTCCCCTCCTCTCTCCTTCCTTCCCCCTCCTTCTCTCTCCTCCCTCTCCCTCTCCCTCTCCCTCTCCCTCTCCCTCTCCCTCTCCCTCTCCCTCTCCCTCTCCCTCTCCCTCTCCCTCTCCTCTCCCTCTCCCTCCCCCTCCCCCTCCCCCTGTTCTTTCTCCCTCTCCCTCCTCTCTCTCCCTCTCCCTCCTCTCTCTCCCTCTTTCCCTCCTCTCTCTCCCTCCCTCCTTCTCTGTCTTTCTCTCCACTTCTTCCTCCTTTCTCCTCCCCCCCTCTCCCCTTCCCCATGTTCGTCTCACCTTTGAGACTCGGGTGATCTCACGAGCACACCCAAGGCCGCCAACGCCTGCTGTTGTGTTCTTCTCCATCTGCTCTCTTGTTTTGGTTTTGTTTACATTTATCTAGTCTCCCCTTGTCATAATTTGTATGTGCTTGGGCTTGCCTCTCTCTCTCTCTCTCTCTCTCTCTCTCTCTCTCTCTCTCTCTCTCTCTCTCTCTCTCTCTCTCTCTCTCTCTCTCTCTCTCTCTCTCTCTCTCTCTCTGTTATTTATGTATGTATGTATGTATATGTATGTGTGTATGAATGATCTCCAACACCGTCCCCATCTTTCCCTTAATATTTATCTTCATGCTGAGAGCTTGCTTGACAGAGCTGCGTTCGTTAGCAAAGGCTTGTTTTACTGAATGACTCCCATTGGTCCAACGGTAATCTACGGTTTCGACGCGCCGGGTGTGGTGGTTGGCTGCAAGTGACGTCACTCGCATCACGTGACTATGGCCTGAGCCGTGACGTCATTCACCTCGTGCGAAACATTCCTAAAAAACACCGCCAAAATTTCCATCGGACGCGTACGCTCATCTATCTGGATTCGCAGAGGCAATTGTTCATATTATTTTGTCTCGTGAAGAAAGGCAAGAAGGGGGATCGATCGGGTTGCAATGGCAGAGCAATGGCAGACGTTAAAGGCGACAGACAGCGGCGACCGACCGACTGATTCAGGGGCCATGCGGTAGAATGACGCAATCGATCAAACCAACCTACTTTCCGTCAGCGTACTTCTGGCACCGGGTTTCATTGACGGCGGAGGAGATTATTTTTTTTATTTTAGTATCGAGAGCTTAGGGACTATGAGTGTTAATTCCTATGTTATTTTTCCACTTTTTTTTCCGTCTTTTTGGAGGATTAGTTACGCCTACGTGGGTAAGCAAGGGCGTTCGTTCGTGTAGGATGCAGAGACACTTGGAAAGTCGGGAGTGATTCTTGGATAGCTTGTCGTCGGAATGGGTCAGGGATAGACGGATAGGAGAGCCGCCTAGGATAGCCTTTGAAGAGAGAGAGAGAGAGAGAGAAAAGTTTTATCCTCCCATGCTCGTACCCAATAATACCTTCAGATACCCACTGCAACACAGGCCTGCAGCGGACATTAGAGGTGAATTTAACTACATTTAAAAAAAAAAAATCAGTCTCACCTGACCAAGACCAGGGCGCGTAGATGCCCAGCCCAACCAAACCGGTCCGAGTACACCATATGCTATATCAACTTAAAACAAGTATATTAGTATCGCGTTACCTGAGGAAGTTTGGAGTAAGTGACGACGTTGTGAGTGAGTGAGTGGGTGAGTGGGTGGGTGGGTGAGTGGGTGGGTGGGTGGGTGGGTGAGTGAGCGAGTGGGTGAGTGAGTGAGTGGGTGAATGAATGGGTGAATGAGAGTTAGTGAGTGAGCGAGCGAGCAAGTTGTGAGTGCAATAGGGAGAGGGGGAGGGAGAGGGAGAGGGAGAGGGAGAGGGAGAGGGAGAGGGAGAGGGAGAGGGAGAGGGAGAGGGAGAGGGAGAGAGAGAGAGAGAGGGAGAGAGAGAGAGAGAGAGAGAGAGAGAGAGAGAGAGAGAGAGAGGGAGAGGGAGAGGGAGAGGGAGAGGGAGAGGGAGAGGGAGAGGGAGAGGGAGAGGGAGAGGAGAGAGGGAGAGAGGAGAGGGAGAGAGGGAGAGGGAGAGAGGAGAGGGAGAGGGGGAGGGAGAGGGGGAAGGAGAGGGAGAGGGAGAGGGGGAAGGAGAGGGAGAGGGAGAGGGAGAGGGGGAAGGAGAGGGAGAGAGGGATAGGTGGAGGGGGAGGGAGAGGGGCAGAGGAGGGAGAGTGACACGTGGACGAAACGTTAGAGCCTTGGGTCGCCATAAATGCCCTCGTTTTTTTTTCTGTTTTGGCTCGCTCTCCCAATTTTCGCCTTCCTGTCGCTGTTTTTGTGTGTCTTTATTTTCCTGTTTGTCACTCTGTTCGTTCTTTCTTTTCCCGGCTATTCGTTGTCATGTTTATTGTTTACTTTTGTTTTGCCTTACCACCCCTTTTCCTCCTCCATCTTCTCCTCCACTACCTTCTCCTACTTCTCCTCCTCCTCCTTCTCCTCCTTCTCCTCCTCCTCCTCCTCCTCCTCCTCCTCCTCCTCCTCCTCCTCCTCCTCCTCCTCCTCCTCCTCCTCCTCCTCCTCCTCCTCCTCCTCCTCCTCCTCCTTCTCCATCTCCATCTCCTCCTCCTTCTCCATCTCCATCTCCTCCTCCTCCATCTCCTCCTCCTCCTCCTCTATCTCCTCCTCCTCCATCTTCTCCTCCTCCTCCTCTGCCTCCCTCCCTCCCTCCCTCCTTCCCTCCTTCCCTCCTTCCCTCCCTCCCTCTTTCCCTCCTTCCCTCCCTCCCTCCTTCCTCCTCCTCCTCAGCCTCCCTCCCTCCTTCCTCCTCCTCCTCAGCCTCCCTCCCTCCCTCCTTCCCTCCTTCCCTCCCTCCTTCCCTCCCTCCTCCTCCTCAGCCTCCCTCCCTCCTTCCTCCTCCTCCTCAGCCTCCCTCCCTCCCTCCCTCCCTCCCTCCTTCCTCCTCCTCAGCCTCCCTCCCTCCCTCCCTCCCTCCCTCCCTCCCTCCCTCCTCATACCTCTCGAGTAGGCTCCCCCAAGAGTTCATGGTCACAAGCGCAAAGGTCCATACCGATTCTTCTCTTGAGAAATCCGCTTAAGAATTGACGAGCCCCCCCCCCCCCCCCCCCCCCCCCCCGGTTCGCTGTCGGTGAATAACGTTTGGCGGGATTTCTGCCAACTTTGAATTAAATTCGTGGATGTTTATATTTTGTGTTGGGTTATATTTCGTGTTAGTTTATATTTCGTTTTAGTTTATATTTCGTATTAGTTTATATTTTGTCTTAGTTTATATTTCGTATTAGTTTATATTTCGTGTGGGCATAGTTCTCGTGAGTTCAGTTCTCCTGAGTCTAGTTATCATGAGCTTTAGTTTAAGAATACAGATGTTAGGTCTCTATTCTTGAGATCAACATTTGCCATTTTTTTTTTAGTCTCGGTAGTTTCTTTGTCATACCGAATGGGATTCTGATGCACCATACACTTCCCACGTTATAAATATAAGGTGTACTTCCCAGAAACGCGCACGGACTCTCTTCGCATGTCTGGGGCGACACTTTTATGCCGTTGACCTACAAAGGCCTCATTTTGTAGGTCTGCCGTCTGCGGTTCTTGGTTGGAAGTCGCCGGGTCCGAAATGCAGGAGGCTGGGGTGTTGGCTGCATCGGGGGGGGGGGGGGGGATAAAGGGAGGGCGGATAATGGGAGGGCAGGGGGAAGAAGTGTGTGTGTGTGTGTGTGTGTGTGTGTGTGTGTGTGTGTGTGTGTGTGTGTGTGTGTGTGTGTGTGTGTGTGTGTGTGTGTGTGTGTGTGTGTGTTTGTGTTTGACTTCCTCTTTTCGTTGCTTTGTTGTTTTTTTTTAGTTTTTTTTCCTCGTCTTTCTACTCTCCTTCGTTTTTCTCATAAAAATCTGTTTTCCTATCCTCAGTCTTCTTCTCCGTCTCTTTCTCATTCTGCTCTTCCTCCTTTTCCCTTCCTCCCGTTCTGTTCTTGGCCATGGCCTTGTCCTCTCCTTCTCCCTGTCCGTCTCCCCTTTCTCCCTTCCTCTCCCTACCCTCTCACTCTCCCTTTCCTCCTTACTCTCCCTCTCCCTTTCCTTCTTTCTCTATCCCTCCCTCTCCCTCTCCCTCTCCGTGGACGATATTGATCATTGTTCTCATCCTTTGCCCTCGGCAGCATTACGTCATAGCCTCCTGTTTCACAATTGCGTAACGTCTGAAAATGGTAGTTCATGTCAGATATCATGTCAGTTTTCATGGCATGTTTTCATTGCCGCTGTCATGGTATTTTCTCATTTCAGTTCTCATGACATGTCCGTTGTTCTCACGGCATATGTTCATGGCATTTCTCATGTCAGCTCTCCTGGCATATTGGGGCGGGTTGTCATGACATGTCCCCGTGGCATATTTTCACGGCACGTTTCCATGTTAATTCCCATGGCCAATCCTCATGCCGTTTCTCTTGGTGTTTTGCGTTGTGCTTGCCATGGTTTGCGAAACAGCTTGCCTGGTATTGACCTGATTGCGCTGGAGAAGTGGGGATGAGAGGGAAGGAGAGGGAGGGAGAGGAGGAGAGTAAAGGAGGAGGGGAGAGAGAGAGAGTGGGTGAAGGTGAAGGTGAAAGAGACGGGAAAGAATTGGAAGGAGGATAAAGAGGAGGGGAGGGAGAGGGAAAGGGAGAAGAAGATGGAGGAGAGAGAGAGATAGAGATAAGAATTGAAAAGAGGAGGAGGAGGAGAAGGGGATGAAGAAGTAGTGGGAGAGAAAGAGAGGGTGGGTGTGGGACTGGGACTGGGAGTGGGAGTGGGAGTGGGAGTGGGAGTAGGAGTGGGAGTGGGAGTGGAGTGGGAGTGGGAGTGGGAGTGGGAGTGGAGTGGGAGTGGGAGTGGGAGTGGAGTGGGAGTGGGAGTGGGAGTGGGAGTGGAGTGGGAGTGGGAGTGGGAGTGGGAGTGGGAGTGGAGTGGGAGTGGGAGTGGGAGTGGAGTGGGAGTGGGAGTGGAGTGGGAGTGGGAGTGGAGTGGGAGTGGGAGTGGAGTGGGAGTGGGAGTGGAGTGGGAGTGGGAGTGGAGTGGGAGTGGGAGTAGGAGTGGGAGTAGG